CATATAGCTTTGAGTTTTAGGCATTTGTGATTTCACCCTCTAACCTCAGACTTACGTTGAATGCAGTTGTCCCTGATTTGTTTAAGAGTCCTTTCTTCGCTGAACCTTGACCTCAGGCGGCGTTCCTCATCACGTACGGTATTGTCAATCTTTGAACAAACGAAGTAGAACTTTTTCCCCATCTTCTGAATCTCCTGAGCGAGCTTTGCATCATTTTCTCTGAAGCGATCAGCTGAGATGATGATGAAGAAGTCAAACCTTTCAAATCCAACATGCTCCAGGTACTCATCAGCTGGAAACTCAGAGGTGCCAATACCAGGAAGATCCCATAGTATGACATTGGGATAGTTGGGATGGGGGTATGGTGAAACCTCTAAGGTGGTTTCTACACAACCAGCAGGAGCAGCTCTCTCATCCTCTTCATCTAGTATGCCTCTGAAGGCATTAACAAAGGTGGATTTACCAGAGCCTGTCTCTCCAGTGATTGCAATATTAAGTGGAATATTATCCCGCTCATCCAAATACTCCTGGATCTTTGCAGCTGCTGCGTCAGGTCCATTGGTTTGCAGCTCCTCTTTAATTTTTTTAATGTGTTCATTTTCAAATGGATTATCCATAGTGCTCCCTGAAAAATATAGAAAACAGAAAATCACTGTAGTATTTTGCATTTGTAGTAAGTTCACCCTTTATCTAATAATGAATTAAATATAATGAGGCTGATTTTAATACAGTTGTATTATGCAAAGTTAGGAGACTGCATTGTCAATACATGAATTTTTCGAAATTAATGACTGTGTAGTCTACACTGCAGGATAAATTGTTGCCTCCAGTCAATGATGTATTTTTGGCAGCAAAAAACACCAAACATGCAAAATGAATTCAGAAATTTTATTAGTTATGTTTTGTTCCCTATGATGGTTATTGTAACCTTATTATCTTATACTACTTACACATTACATGTAGAGCAGTGCAAACTGTGTTACATAGAGCTGCAGTAATAAGCATGGATTAGCTGTAAATATATCTCTTACCGTATGAGGCACTTTGATCGTTGTTACTCTGCGAGAAGGTTTAACTTCTTTCTCTGCACAGCCGCACAGTGTCAGAGTTGTACAAAGTTCAGCTCCTTACTGTACAGTCAGTGAAGTGACCAATGAAAATGTCTGCTGGGAGCCACGATAACCAGTCAGTGTCTGTCCTGTTTGTCCTGTTTCCTCGGCCCCATTATCAGTGAAAGCAGCTGGTTTACAAGAAGTGCAGAGAGGAGGGTGCGTTTGTATCAGAGAGCTACACCCTCTGAGTTATCTACTGGCACTCAGTCAGACAAACACGCTTTGCTCTTTATCGGTTTATAGTTTATCAAGAGCTGTTTTCAAGCTGTACATGAATTTTTCCAAATTAAAAACGTGTGTAGTCTACACTGTAAGCTAGATGTGGCCTGCAGTACTTTATCTTTAATGAGCAGCAAAAAAACATCAAAACATCGAAAATAAATTCATAAACATATTCATCATGCCTCTGTTCCTTTAATTAACCTCAAGTAACCTCAATACACAAGACTTTACATGACATGTAGGACAGTGTAAAGTGTGTTACATAGGATAACGCTGCAGTGTATTGTTTCATTCTTCTCATGTGTTTGTAAGTGTTTGACCTTTACATTCCCCTTTGTATCTATCTGATGTTACTTCACATCATCAAGAGATTTAACATTCACTATAATTTCGCCTTCAAACACAGTCCATTGACTGTCTAACAGATACAGCCGAATACCTAACATGTTGCAGTAGGTATGTTCCTCTGATATAATCAAGAGAACATAAGTAAATCAAGAAAGCCCAAGAAAGCTACAATTGATTTCTCATCATCCTGTCGTCTGAGTGTAGGTAAAAAGTTGCCCTGTATTCACTGTTCTGGGCACAACCCCTGTGCTCTGAGGAGGAGGTTGCGCCTCCTCTGTAGAGAATAAACTCTCATGCATGAAGCTATTCAGTCTTGTTTGCTGACTTATTACCCAGAGACCTGATATTAAATACAACTAGTTCTACATTTGTTGGAGCAGGGCCTGATATACATTGCTTACAGGGAACTGAATCAGATGTGTGGCACNGATGCCAATATTTATCTGGATCTTTGTAGTTCCTAAAGGCAGGTCTATCGGTAAGCAGCTTTGTTTTCATTTCTTCTATTGGTTCATAATCAAATGGATTATTCATATTCATAGGATCTTACTGTCATCCTCTTATCTAATCTTTGCCTTGACACTGGAGCTGTTGTACTAGGGATGGCTGTTCTCTCCCTGGGCCTCAGGTTGCTAAAGGACAGATGTTGGACTAGCAGAGGCCCTGGGTGTTCTAGTTGCTGCCAACAGTGATAGACGATGCCCTTGTGCTGGACAAGGTGGCCCAATTCAGGGAGTTGAGGATGGAGGGGAGGGCCACCTAGGGGGCTTTGGGGGACAGGTTAGCTGGGGTGTGTTTGTGGGTGGAGTATAGGTGATGGCAATGCCCACGACATGGCTATACTGGACGTGAGCAGGATCATTTTAATCCCAGACTTACCAAGTCCTAAATCTGGCTTGTGAGTCTGAGAGGTGAGACGGGAGGGAATGGATGGTAGAGGGTCAGAGGAGAGTGAGGGTTGAGGTGGGGAGGTCAAGGCCTGGGGTGGGGGGAGTGAAGGGGAATCCACAGAGAGGACAGTGTCATTGTCATCCCGTCGTGGCTCTCACTCTGCAGGGGAGACTTTGGCTGATGGAAAAGGGGGCAGGAAGTTTTTTGGTTCCTCAGACAATGGAGAAAATTGTTAGCCACCTCAGTCCAAGTCCATAAAGGAGGTGACCCTTTCCTCTGAGGAAGTTGTCCCATTGCTTAAACAAATTAAAGCTATCAGTGAAGTTTTTTCCTTGAGACTCACATGCATTAAAAAGCCATGTATTGAGTGCAAGTAGGAGGCTGAATTTATTTATCCTTCTGTCAATGGCTGAGTCCCACTGATGAATGATTATACTTCCAGCTTGTCAAGTCTGTTAAAAAGTTTCATAAAATCTTCTTTTGAAAACTTCTGATTCTCCTTTCCTGGTGTCAACGGCTCCCACATGCACAATAACATGTGGTTTGACAGTACCTAGGAGAAAAGTCCAGTTATATCACTGACCATGGGACTTGGATAGCTGCATGGGATGATCCTTTCATTGTTTACAGCACTGATAGCACCATCTCCCACGAGGAGGATATTTCTCTCCTTCACCTCTGGCACAGACTCTTTGTCCTGGTGTGCCCTGTGCTTCTTCTGTGTGCCAGTGTTAGTTTCACATTTTCCCTTTAAAGAAGATAATTTTTTATTCCCTGATTCCCATTCATAAAATTGCTTTCCGACTCGTTCACACTTAGTTCAGACAGTGGTTGATATTTGTTTTTGAGCCATATGCCCGGTGATGCTGTATTTCTTCCTGTGATGCCAGATTTTGTTTTGTTTTTTGTTCCATTTTGGCTAAGCAGCAAGTGTATGCCAGGCAGCAGTGGGACCAGGCCGTTTGCGTCCCACTTTAACAAGTGTCAGGAAAGACACTGTATCATCCAGGTTTAGGATATTTTGGGTAGCATTATGTTTAACACTACTTTGATTAGTGGTAGCAAACTTAGCTGTCTTACCCCTAGTTGTTATGGGGAGTTTCTCATGAAGTCCTTTCTCAGCTGCCAATTTAAAAATCCTTGTCAGTAGCACAGCAATTTCCTGTAGATGTTTCCAACAGTTTGGGCATGATGAGCCTGTTGTGGATTTTACAGGATTCAACACACTTTTGTCACACAGAGATTGTTCATGCTGCAACTCCCATTGGTCTGAGCTGTCCCCTGCCATGGCTCTGTGTATATGTCAATATCCGCAGTTTCCTCTGAAGAAATAGCGGAGAGTTGCAACCCAGAGATGTCAAAAGTTATCCTCCCGATGATTTAGCTGTATTAGGAAACCTCCTTAAATGTGTAGGAGTTTGTGACAAGAAGGAAAAAGTAGCAAAGCATCTGCACAAATGTTTATTAAAATGTGAGTACAGACACAGAGACAAAAACACACATTTATCATTGAAAAGATATTTATTTAACAGAAACAATCATACCACAAGACAAAATGATCAAGATCAAAAAGTCAGTTAGATAAATGTAGGTTGATTAGTGTAAAAAAGACTGAAAAGTACAGTAATACAATTTAAAAGCTGTGTCCTTAACGAAACTTAAAACCACAGGATGTAAAGATGTGGCTGGACACAGGACATAAAGGAATAAAAACTCTCACGAGAATGTTGAAATTTGACCTACATCAAGACAAAGAGGACCAGCACTATAAGGGAGCTGACAGGCGACCATAAGCCGATCCTGGCCTGACCTTGAGAAATTCCCTCAAGGTGTTCTGGAGATACTGTGTACACCAGAATGGGATGGACGACAACCTGAAAACATAATGCCTCCAGCCTTGTGCGAAGGCATAACAACAAAGAAAAAAGACCAAAAGATTGATTGATAAATAAAATATTTAATAATGGGGTTGCTGCTTCAGATCTTTATTCGCACAAAGCAGAACAAGAATAAAGACTGTACTGATGCTGGCGTCATCCCTGTGATATTTCTAACACATGTTGGGACGTATCATGAACACTGTCAACATTAGTACTACATTTTTTTTAGCAGTAGTGATATAGTATTAATGAAAATAATGATTATGAACAATAAAAACAATAGCAGTGTGGTTTCCTTTGAAGGACATTGTGTTGTACTTCTTCCCAGAACTCAACATGTTGAGGTCTGTGGGTTCAACGGGGAGGTACAAGTGTTTGTCATCCACATAACAGTGAAAAGAGACACCATGTCTGTGGATGAGATCTCTTAAAGAGACATGTACTATAGTATTAACAAATTTGATGCAAGGATTGACCCATGAGGCACACCGTACTTGAGGTGGAAAAGGGATGACATGAAGTTGTTAACAGAGACAAAAAACTTCCCTTTTGTCAAATACGATGAGGACCAGTCTAAAGATGCACCAGTTTNAAGACTGTGCTGATGCTGGCGTCATCCCTATGATATTTCTAACACATGTTGGGATGTATCATGAACACTGTCAACATTAGTTCTATAATTGTTATTAGCAGTAGTGATACAGTATTAATAAGAATAATGACAATGAACATTAAAATTAAAATGATGAGGTCAGTTCATCCAATAGCGCATCATCAACCATCCCACACCCAACCTCACAGAGCTCAACCATGGAGCTGTCACACGTCTCGCACGAACAATAACTAATGACTCGGATCACCCTCTCAACCCACACTTCACAGTGGCGCCGCCTGGGCGCAGATACAGGACCCTGAGGTGGAGACGGGCACGCTTCAACAAGAGCTTTGTCCTGTCTGCCATCTCTGCACTCAATAACCTCCCCCAATGACCTTGTATGGACCCAGCCCTCCTGAGTGTGATATATGTGTCGGTTGTTCAATGTCTGGTGATGTTTGTGCATTGTGTGTGTAGTCATATGTTGTTCAATGTTTGGTGGTGGTGTGCATGGTGTTTGTTGGCGGTGTTTTGTGTATCCAAATGTGACAGATTGTGAAAACAAATTTCCCCATGGGACGATAAAGGCTATCTATCTATCTATCTATCTATCTATCTATCTATCTATCCATGTGTACTTTTAGCAAGTCTCCGCAGTGACGGTTTATCAAGCCCAAACCCAAATACATATTTTATCACAACAGAAACCAACACACCCACATCAACTGCAGCAGAAAGCCCAGGAACTGGTACAGCTGCTACACCTGCACTAAGTGTAGCAAAGTATTTTATTTGGGCATTAAAATCAATAGCAGTGTGATTTCCTTTGAAGGACGTTGTGTTGTAGTTCTTCACAGAACTCAACATGTTGAGGTCAGTGGGTTCAACGGGGAGGTACAAGTGTTTGTCATCCACATAACAGTGAAAAGAGACACCATGTCTGTGGATGAGATCTCTTAAAGGAATACTCCGACGATTTGGGAGTTATGCCTTTTCTTATTATCTCATTTTCATATTGAGACAACATGATCGATTGCTTTTTTGTGTCTGTACGTCCAGTGGCTGGGTCTCAGCGGTTAGCATTGCGGCTTAACTTAGCGAATACAGTTGAAGTCTTTAAGGGGTCAGTGGCCTGCTCGGTGAAAGTGAACAAATAAAAGTTACAGAAACCCTGAAGCTGGTATTTCTGCATGTGCATTTAAAATGAATATGTTTAAACATTAATTTGAAAAATGAGAGTCCTTTTTAGTCATTTTAGAAGAAGTCTGATACACGGAACTATAGTGTGTTTACGTCCTGCACGGAGGGATAACCGGTGAGCAACAGCTGCCACTGGCTCTGGGACAGGTACCCTAGGTCACTCGTTAAAAGCAAACAAAGAGATGACACGGACGATATTACTCACTTGACTGAAAGCTGTCCATCAGCTCCTGCAGGCGTGGGGCGTTTTTTCCAGTTTATCTTAGGAACATGAAAAAATGTTTCAATCACGCCAGGATTAGTGATTGCTGCAAAGTTTTCACTCCTTGTGACGCACTCTCTGCGGCAGTTTTCCTCCTGATGATATATCTCTAGCCTCCCTGGTAGCACCGAATCCCATTCTGTGCAGCAAAATGATTCCACCTCCGTAGGCATAGGTTGGTCCCGCAGTTATACCACCAATCCTCCCCTGACCTCTGTCTCCCCTCGGCCCCTTGCTGTTCCGCTGCCTCGGAGGATTCAGCCTCTCTTCTGTACTGCCTAGTTTCCCTGTAAGTTTTGGGGAAATTACCCAGTACTTTCAGACTAAGGACAAATAAACAGTGCAAACTTCATAATCCAGCCCAGTCTCTTTTGTTAGTATATACTTAGGTGGAAAGTACTGCCTAGTTTCCCTGTAAGTTTTGGTGAAAGTACGCTGTAGATGTGAGAACAGCACCTACCATGTGGTTTCTGTGTAATTAAATAATAAAAACATTTTATAACTTTTCATGACTCATTATTGTGTATTTTAAGATATATGTAGGCTATATTATTACATTACTGTATTGTTTGTGTTTCGTCCTCGGATGGCACTACAAGACTTCCAGAGATGTGCACTTGAGAGAGGTAAGTTTGCTTTGTACTCCAGCCTGCCCGTTAATTAGGCAATTCGCAGAATATAGACCCATTTCTTGACATATTCATACTCAAACTCATTCAATGAAATGTAAACAAAACATAAATGTTAAAACCCTGGAGTGTGGGTGAAATTGCCTGATGACACATAGGCTACATAAAAGTGACTGAATCAATTGCCATGAGCAAAGGGCAAAAGCATTTGTTGTACTTCATACATATACAGATTCATATAAGGAAATTAAACCATAAGTTTTGGGAAATTACATAAGTGACAAGTTATACACTAACTCCCGTGAAAGTATATGCTAAGTGACCGCGAGGGATACTCTAACTCCCGGGAAAGTATGTGCCAAGTGACCGCATCGTTATACACTAACCCCTGTAAAGAATGTGGTAAGTGACCACAAGGGATACTCTAACCCCTGGGAAAGTATGTGGTAAGTGACTGGGAGGAATTATGCTCTAACTCCCGGGAACGTACTTGTAAGTTCCCGGGAGTTATACGCTAACTCCCGGGAAAGTGGGCGAGAGGTACACTCTAAAATGCAGGCTGTCTTATGAAGTGTTACCCACAGATCTCATACAAAGACCCAAAACTCGATTGGATTAACTGTGTTACACTAAATGAAAACATATTAACAGCTGATAGAAATCACTTGCATAATCATAAATCTGTAATGCACCTGTACAAAACATCTGTGTCGCTATTTGTAAGCATGGATTGAAGAGGAAAAGACTACAGTTCATGCTGTGATCTGCCTGCTTGCCTATTTTTGGCACCCACTATAACTATGTAACGTAGGTACAGAGCACAAAGAACTGCAAGGCCGAACCGATTCATATTGATAGCTGTATGTTGTATTTTGTTATCCAATGTGTGTTGACTGATTGAAAGAATACATCTGACTATAAGTTGTGTTGTTTGATGAACATATTTGCTTTTGTTGCATGTTTTTAATGTTTAATGCCAGGCCAGCAACTTTCAGTTTAGGCCTGGTGTCAACTGTTTTATACATAAATACATAAATACATAAATCATGAAACACATCAGTTGTCAGTGTCTCATATTAAAGTGGGTATAAACGCTTGCCAAAAGTCGTCATTATTTCTGTTATTTTTCTTTTTTTCAAGAAGGCCCAGAAGGAATTAATGGCTCATCTTCTGCACTGCATCTACTCATCTGCTGCAGGCTGCAGTGATGGTTGTGCACCATCAGCTCGAGGGACCATCCTCTGAATAATGACTTGAACTATTTTAATACGTGTCCCGTGGTGGAAACACTGGCAAGTGTCCAAAACTCAAAACAATGAGGTCTCTCAACTACAAGATGGTGACTGTCGCATTTAAGTGTTGATGAGGTTTGAGTCAGTTTATTTATTGTGTGTACATTTTAACTAAATATGTTAATATACAGTACCATAAAGACAGCATACATCTACAAGATGGTAATGTGGGAACAGAATATTTTGTTTGTACAACCTTATAGAACATGAGATGGAGAGCTCACTAAGATAATGTAAAGACAAAATCACTAATTTTAGTACATTTCAATGAACATTTTATTTGATCACTCAGAGGCCTTCATTTCATTCAGATTAATATAAAGTATTCAGACAGTAAGCATTACACTACCTGATTTGCTCAATGTGTTTGATTAAATATGCAACATGATCAGAACACTCTGATTTGTACACTGTACATACAGTAAGATTACATTGTACACTAAGAGTTCTAATCGTGCCACATTTCCATTCACCTTTATGATCACACTGAGGTGCTGAAACCCAGGGCCTTTTTGGACACCCTCTGTGCATCCTCAGCGAGCATGTCGAGGAAAGTATGAAGAGCTTTGTAGGTGGAGATAAAAGACACAATCATTGCCGCTGGGATTCCAAATAATGGAATAAATCTGAACCCTTCCTCTGCTGCCATTAATGCAGCATCACTTACAGACAAGCACAACATCTTAATGATAAGCTCTTTGTTTATTTCCTTTAAACCCAGTTGTGATGTCATCACTGATCTAAGATCATCCAAAGGCACGCGTGCACTAAGAGCAAGACTCTGCAGTGACTTGCTATCAAGACCAAATGTAACTTTGTACTCAATGATGGTAGCAACCAGCATGGTTACATCAGTGGCAAAAGAGAGCCCAGGAACTGGTGCAGCTGCTATGAGTGCAGATGCAGAGGCAAGGTACTTGATTTTAGACCCAAAGACCTCTTTCTTCTTTCTGATGGTCTCAGGATTGACATTGGGCATGGCCAGCAGCAGAGTGTTCCTCTTGTGTGCAGGAAGTTCTCTCTCCAGGGTCTCCTCTAACAGATGGAAATCATAGAGGTGGAGCTCACAGCTGGACACCAGGAAGACTTGTGGAGACGCAATATCTAATTTTTCAAGACCTGTGTCACAAACAGAACAGAAGAGTCAAATGATGAAATCAAGACAGAATGAGAGACCATCCTGTGATAGGATCACACCTGCTGCAACACCAAATCAGTATGGTGTCATTTGTTTATACAGTTTAAGATTACAGGGACAGTGCACAATAACAAACTAAATGTGCCAGTTTAGCCGTCTTGGCTGATTCCCAACTGTCTCTGGGCAGGTGTGATGAAAACTACAGAAAACACATACAATACATTAAAACAGGATCAGCAATACAGTACATGCAACAGAACACACTTTATAAGAGCACATCAAATATATGAAAACAGGGACAACAATACATCAAACATAAAAACAAGGCACACTTCAGACGTTGGATACATTTCAGACTATGGTCACACACTTGATATTTTTTAGCCACAATTTTAGGTGATTTTAAATGAACAATATGTGTCACAGTCTCTGATGAGTGTTGGCAGACTGTTCCATGTATTTTTTGCTCTTGTAGCCCTTGTAGCATATAGCTTTGAGTTTTAGGCATTTGTGATTTTACCCTCTAACCTCAGAGTTACCTTGAATGCAGTTGTCCCTGATTTGTTTAAGAGTCCTTTCTTCGTTGAACTTTGACCTCAGGCGTCTTTCCTCATCACGTACGGTATTGTCAATCTTTGAGCGAACAAAGTAGAACTTTTTCCCCATCCTCTGAATCTCCTGAGCGAGCTTCACATCATTTTCTCTGAAGCGATCAGCTGAGATGATGATGAAGAAGTCAAACCTTTCAAATCCAACACTCTTCAGGTACTTGTCAGCTGGAAAGTTGGTGGTGCCAATACCAGGAAGATCCCATAGTATGACATTGGGATAGTTGGGATGGGGGTATGGTGTAGCCTCTGAGGTGGTTTCTACAGGACCAGTAGGGGCAGCTCTCTCATCCTCTTCATCTAGTATGCCTCTGAAGGCATTAACAAAGGTGGATTTACCAGAGCCTGTCTCTCCAGTGATTGCAATATTTAGTGGCTTATTATCCCGCTCATCCAGATACTCCTGGATCTTTGCAGCTGCTGCATCAGGTCCATTGGTTTGCAGCTCCTCTTTAATTTTTTTAATCTTTTCATAATCAAATGGATTATCCATAGCGCTCCCTGAAAAATATAGAAAACAGAAAATCACTGTAGTATTTTGCATTTGTAGTAAGTTCACCCTTTATCTAATAATGCATTAAATATAATGAGGCTGATTTTAATACAGTTATATTATGCAAAGTTAGGAGACTGCATTGTCAATACATGAATTTTTCAAAATCAGTGACTGCAGGATAAATTGTTGCCTCCAGTCAGTGATGTATTTTTGGCAGCAAAAAACATCAAAACATGCAAAATGAATTCAGAAATTATATTTATTATGTTTTTGTTCCTTATGATGGTTATTGTAACCTTATTATTTAACACTACTTACACATTACATGTAGAGCAGTGCAAACTGTGTTACACAGAGTTGCAGTAATAAGCATGGATTAGCTGTAAATATATCTCTTACCGTATGAGGCACTTTGATCGTTGTTAATTTGCGAGAAGGTTTAACTTCTTTCTCTGCACAGCCGCACAGTGTCAGAGTTGTACAAAGTTCAGCTCCTTACAGTCAGTGAAGTGACCAATGAAAACATCTGCTGTGAGCCACATGACCAATCAGTGTCTGTCCTGTTTCCTCGGCCCCATCATCAGTGAAAGCAGCTGGTTTACAAGAAGTGCAGAGAGGAGGGTGCGTTTGTATCAGAGAGCTACACCCTCTGAGTTATGCACTGGCAAACACGCTTTGCTCTTTATCAGTTTATAGTTTATCAAGAGCTGTTTTCAACCAGATGACATTAGTTACCCAGAATATGGATATGTGACTCATGAAAATGTGGTTTTGATGAAATCTCTAAATATGTTCTGACTTCTTTTCTGTCCCTGACCCACTGGGTCAGCAGGCTCTCTGACGTCCAGCACCTAATGATTAACAAATGAAGCACTGTACTGCCAGTACTGTTGTCTGTGCCTCTGAAGGCATTATCAAAGGTGGATTTACCAGATCCAGACTGTGATGCCAATATTTATCTGGATCTTTGTAGTTCCTAAAGGCAGGTCTATCGGTAAGCAGCTTTGTTTTCATTTCTTCTATTGGTTCATAATCAAATGGATTATTCATATTCATAGGATCTTACTGTCATCCTCTTATCTAATCTTTGCCTTGACACTGGAGCTGTTGTACTAGGGATGGCTGTTCTCTCCCTGGGCCTCAGGTTGCTAAAGGACAGATGTTGGACTAGCAGAGGCCCTGGGTGTTCTAGTTGCTGCCAACAGTGATAGACGATGCCCTTGTGCTGGACAAGGTGGCCCAATTCAGGGAGTTGAGGATGGAGGGGAGGGCCACCTAGGGGGCTTTGGGGGACAGGTTAGCTGGGGTGTGTTTGTGGGTGGAGTATAGGTGATGGCAATGCCCACGACGTGGCTATACTGGACGTGAGCAGGATCATTTTAATCCCAGACTTACCAAGCCATGTATTGAGTGCAAGTAGGAGGCTGAATTTATTTATCCTTCTGTCAATGGCTGAGTCCCACTGATGAATGATTATACTTCCAGCTTGTCAAGTCTGTTAAAAAGTTTCATAAAATCTTATTTTGAAAACTTCTGATTCTCCTTTCCTGGTGTCAACGGCTCCCACATGCACAATAACATGTTTGAATCCAGAGTGGTTTGACAGTACCTAGGAGAAAAGTCCAGTTATATCACTGACCATGGGACTTGGATAGCTGCATGGGATGATCCTTTCATTGTTTACAGCACTGATAGCACCATCTCCCACGAGGAGGATATTTCTCTCCTTCACCTCTGGCACAGACTCTTTGTCCTGGTGTGCCCTGTGCTTCTTCTGTGTGCCAGTGTTAGTTTCACATTTTCCCTTTAAAGAAGATAATTTTTTATTCCCTGATTCCCATTCATAAAATTGCTTTCCGACTCGTTCACACTTAGTTCAGACAGTGGTTGATATTTGTTTTTGAGCCATATGCCCGGTGATGCTGTATTTCTTCCTGTGATGCCAGATTTTGTTTTGTTTTTTGTTCCATTTTGGCTAAGCAGCAAGTGTATGCCAGGCAGCAGTGGGACCAGTCTGTTTGGGTCCCACTTTAACAAGTGTCAGGAAAGACACTGTATCATCCAGGTTTAGGATATTTTGGGTAGCATTATGTTTAACACTACTTTGATTAGTGGTAGCAAACTTAGCTGTCTTACCCCTAGTTGTTATGGGGAGTTTCTCATGAAGTCCTTTCTCAGCTGCCAATTTAAAAATCCTTGTCAGTAGCACAGCAATTTCCTGTAGATGTTTCCAACAGTTTGGGCATGATGAGCCTGTTGTGAATTTTACAGGATTCAACACACTTTTGTTACACAGAGATTGTTCATGCTGCAACTCCCGCTGGTCTGAGCTGTCCCCTGCCATGGCTCTATGTATATGTCAATATCCATAGTTTCCTCTGAAGAAATAGCAGACAGTTGCAACTCAGAGATGTCAAAAGTTATCCTCCAGATGATTTAGCTGTATTAGGAAACCTCCCTAAATGTGTAGGAGTTTGTGACAAGAAGGAAAAATAGGAAAAATAAGAGCAAAGCAGAGTGCAAGCAAGAAGAGCACCTGCACTGTAGCAAAGCGTCTGCACAAATGTTTATTAAAATGTGAGTACAGACACAGAAACAAAAACACACATTTATCATTGAAAAGATATTTATTTAACAGAAACAATCATACCACAAGACAAAATGATCAAGATCAAAAAGTCAGTTAGATAAATGTAGGTTGATTAGTGTAAAAAAGACTGAAAAGTACAGTAATACAATTTAAAAGCTGTGTCCTTAACGAAACTTAAAACCACAGGATGTAAAGATGTGGCTGGACACAGGACATAAAGGAATAAAAACTCTCACGAGAATGTTGAAATTTGACCTAAATCAAGACAAAGAGGACCAGCACTATAAGGGAGCTGACAGGCGACCATAAGCCGATCCTGGCCTGACCTTGAGAAATTCCCTCAAGGTGTTCTGGAGATACTGTGTACACCAGAATGGGATGGACGACAACCTGAAAACATAATGCCTCCAGCCTTGTGCGAAGGCATAACAACAAAAAAAAAAGACCAAAAGATTGATTGATAAATAAAATATTTAATAATGGGGTTGCTGCTTCAGATCTTTATTCGCACAAAGCAGAACAAGAATAAAGACTGTACTGATGCTGGCGTCATCCCTGTGATATTTCTAACACATGTTGGGACGTATCATGAACACTGTCAACATTAGTACTACATTTTTTTTAGCAGTAGTGATATAGTATTAATGAAAATAATGATTATGAACAATAAAAACAATAGCAGTGTGGTTTCCTTTGAAGGACATTGTGTTGTACTTCTTCCCAGAACTCAACATGTTGAGGTCTGTGGGTTCAACGGGGAGGTACAAGTGTTTGTCATCCACATAACAGTGAAAAGAGACACCATGTCTGTGGATGAGATCTCTTAAAGAGACATGTACTATAGTATTAACAAATTTGATGCAAGGATTGACCCATGAGGCACACCGTACTTGAGGTGGAAAAGGGATGACATGAAGTTGTTAACAGAGACAAAAAACTTCCCTTTTGTCAAATACGATGAGGACCAGTCTAAAGATGCACCAGTTTCGCCCACCCAGTGCCTCAGTCTGTCTGAAAGAATGTCACGATCAGTTGTTTCAAAAGGTACAACACAAGACCATGATTTGTATACAGTCATTATAAAATACTACAATGCAGTCTACTAAAAAAAAAAATCCAAAAGCTCTTTCTCTGCGGTTTTTAATGTGCCATTAAATGCCACTGCCATTCACTTCACAAAATCACACTATGTCCAAACCCAGGACCCTTTTAAACACCCTCTGTGCATCCTCAGCAAGTCTGTTGAGGAAAGTATTGAGAGCTCTGTAGGTGAAGATTAAAGAGAGACTCATTGCTGCTGTGGTTCTAATTACTGGAGTAAATCTGGACACTTCCTCTGCTGCCATTAATGCAGCTGTGCCTGCACATCTAAGAAGCACCTTCAACACAAGATCTCGGGTTATTTCTGTTGCAGCCAGTGGTGAAACTATGATGTTAATCAGATACCTAAATGGCATACCTCTTCTATCAGGGAGTCTCCGCAGTGACGGTTTATCAAGCCCAAACCCATTTACATATTTTATAACAACAGAAACCAACAGACCCAAATCAACTGCAACAGAAAGCCCAGGAACTGGTACAGCTGCTACACCTGCACTAAGCATAGCATAGTATTTAATTTGGGCATGAAAAGCCTTTTTCTTCTTGTCAATGACCTCCAGGCTGATGTTGGACATGGCCAGCAGCAGAGCATGCTTCTTGTGTGCAGGAAGTTCTCCCTCAAAGGTGTCCCCTAAGAGAGTGAAGTCATACAGGTGGAGATAAAAGCTGGACACCAGGAAGACTTGAGGAGACTCAACACCTTGTCTTTGAAGACCTGTGTGACAACAGGAATACATGATATGATGATAAGATATACAAAACAATTAGAACTTTTAAAATGTGTAAAATAAGGTGCAGCTCTAGGGACACATTATTGAATTATTATTTTGTGTAAATTTTCCAGGCACCCTGTGTTTTGATATAGTGGACATCACATTGAAACTGTTAACCTTCTACACCAACTCTATTAAAGTCAGGGGCCCATACAGGAAGTGTTAGTTACTCCATGGTCACCAGTATGTAAGCTTTGTTTGCCAGAAGAGGCAGCAGTGTGGTATTAATGACAGTCTGTGATTTGGTTTAAAGTTTGAATGTATGTCTACAATTTGTTGGATATTGAAAATACGGTAGCAGAACTATTATGTGATTTTACTTTATGATTTAGAAAATTGCCACAAACCTATTACTATGAAAGTTGTCAGACTTGTGTATTTTGGAGGGGAGACCTGTTTTTAATTATGCACATTTTGTAATTAATTTCATCATTCATGTGATTACATCAGTCACTTACCCTGAATGCAGTTTTTCTTGATTTGTTCAAGACACCTTTCTGCATTGAACTTTGACCTCTGACGTCTTTCCTCATCATGTATGTCAGTGTCAATCTTTGAGCGAACAAAGTAGAACTTTTTCCCCATCCTCTGAATCTCCTGAGCGAGCTTCACATCATTTTCTCTGAAGCGATCAGCTGAGATGATGATGAAGAAGTCAAACCTTTCAAATCCAATAAGCTTCAGGTAGTTGTCAGCTGGAAAGTTGGGGGTGCCAATAGCAGGAAGATCCCATAGTGTGACATTGGGATAGTTGGGATGGGGGTATGGTGTAGCCTCTGAGGTGGTTTCTACAGGACCAGTAGGAGCGGCTCCCTCATCCCCATTATTTATGCCTCTGAAGGCATTAACGAAGGTGGATTTACCAGAAAAAGACTCTCCAGTAAAAACAAAATTTAATGGAATATTATTCTACTAATCCAAATACTCCTGAAACCTTTTTACAGCTAAGGCCTGATCATTATTTTCTAGTGCTTTTTTAATGTCTTCAGTCCATTGTCCACTCTCCATGGTAATCCTTGATAACTGGAGTACAAGAGAAGTAAAAAGCCATTACTGTCTTTTGGGAAATAGTAGAAAATGTAGTCCACTATGACCTAACGTCATGTACATACAATCTTAAACACAATGATCTGACATGCACACTGCATCTTTAGAAACCCCCACGTCCTTGAAAATATCATATTATGATGCAGTATAACCTGGCACACAGCAGATCTTTTTGACAGATGAAGGTAAAATCTATTTACATTAGCACAATTTTAGTGACTGTTTACTCACACTATGCCAGTTTTATACAGCAATAAGCAGCTTCCTCATATTTTTCATCAGGATACAAAGAAGGCTTTTGCTGAATATTAGAAGCTACTCACCTGGAGTCTTAATGTTGAAACAGATGAGACAAGAGCACATCAGCCTCTGAGTTACTATGAGTTGTTCAGCTGCAAGAAAAGCGGACATCCAGTCGAAAAAAACAACCCACTTGAGTTTATCAGAGTTCAAACAACAGTGACCAATGAAAATGTCCTGCCATGAGAGAGAAAACTGATTGGTCAGCTGTAAAGCAGCTGACTTCCAAGAAACACACATATTTACATGAAACATAGAATACTGCAGGCAGCACCCCCTGCTGGCTACTATCTGCAGGTGAATGAGTTGTATTTTTGGGTAATTAGTGTAAATCAGTCTATCCTTATAAAGAGTCTAACTTATGTGAACTTATTCATTTTTTTTTGTTTTTCACAAGCAAAAAACCCATCAATTTTCCAAGAGGCTTTTTTATAGAGCACATTGAGATATAGATTTTTGTCACATTTCATATCTATCATACTCTTGGTGTGGGTGGCATGGCCTGTCAACATTTTCATTTATTCAGCTGTCAACTACAGTGCCACCATCAGGACGATTGGGATCAAATTAGATGTTAAGCATTAGGGTATTAATCCAGTTATGATCATGAAGCTAATCCCAGCTCACAATAAATGATGCAATGGAATATTATAGCATATATTTCTACACAGTACACACCCACATGCATCAATCAATATGACACCTCAGAGAAGACCAACCTAAATCATTAAACACATTCAGTGTCTCAGTACTAGCTGCAACAACGGTGTGATGGCTAGTATTGTTTTCACCCTATAAATGTGTGTGTATGTGTGTGTCATCATGACAAAATATAGTTGTGGCACCTACTGTAGCAGGAATGACCACAGAAGTAATTTTGAGTATTCTGGCAAGTGTTTACTGTATATGTCAGATCTGAGTAGATGAGTGCTCAAGCCAACAGACTCTCACTGGGGGGCTCTGCCAGTGTTCATATGACTCATTTTCTTACCTGTTAGCATTTGTAGCTCTTCCTCTCAAGTTGGGCTGCCAATATGAAAAATTGTTTTGGCTCTTGTGTCCTTAAAATAAGGCAGTGTCTACTACCCTCTAACATTGACTTACCTTGAATGTAGTTTTCCCTGATTTGCTTAACACACCTTTCTGCGCTGAACTCTGATCTCTGATGTCTTGTCATGTAAGGCATGGTCAGTCTTTGAGCAAACAAAGTAGATTTTTTCCTCATCCTCTGAATCTCCTGAGCAAGCTTCACATCATTTTCTCTTAAGCGATCGGCTGAGATGATGATAATGAATTCAACATTTTCAAATCCAACATGTCTCAGGTACTTATCAGCTGAAAAGTTAGTAGTGCCAATACCAAAAGATCCCATAATGTAACATCAGGATAGTTGGGATGGGGGTATGGCATAACCTCGGAGGTGGTGTCTACACAACCTGTAGGGGCAGCTCTCTCATTTCCATCTTCTATGCCTGTAAACCATCTGACGGCCCGTGGGTCAGCAGTTAGATGGTTTAGTAGATAATTATGTTATGTAAACAACAGCTGAGTTTAAGTGGTTGACTTATATAACACATTGTATAATATTCTGTAAAGCAGGTATAATAAACACTTCTGTCACACAACCAACAAACAAACAGTTAAAACTCACCTATGACACTTTATCATCATTCACAGATTTAAAATATTCCAACAAAAAGGAGAGACGAGCTCAGTGTGTCATAGGAAGTCCCCCGGCAGACTAGACCTATATCAGCCTAACTAGGGGCTGGTCCAAGGTGAGCCAGAGCCAGCCCTAACTATGAGCTTCATAAAAGAGGAAAGGTTTAAGTCTGCTGGAGACAGTGTTTGCCTTTCCAACCTAGGCCGAAAGATGGTTACACAGTGTGACGAAGCTGCCCCGCACATCGCCAAACTCCAGGAGGAGGGGGACGATGTGACGGGGCGGCTCTCTCGCTGACTGTGGGCAGCGCGCACACACAAACTCACACACACTCGCTCTCATTCATTTCTCAGTCCACGCTCCCTTCCCTTCTTCACTAAGTCATTAAAAATAAAACCTCATGATTATCCCTCTTTCCCTCTGTTTTTGTAGTGCGGCCAAGGGAGCACACTTGGTTTCGTGATTGTTAAGTTAACTTTTGTTGTGAATAACTTGTGAGGGTTAAAGGAGAACATTTATGAAAATACTGAATATTTTGCTTTATGTTTATTTTGAGTTTAGAAAGCTGTAAATTGTTTTTTTTTTTTTTTTGGTTAGACAATATGCTGATTGTGTTTTTTTTTATGTGAATAATATGGCTAGTGGGAGGGGCAACTGGTTTAAATGAGGCTCCTTTGGCCCTGGATGAGCCAGTCTTGTTGTGTTTACAGAGGAGGTAACACTGCTTGGCCTCCAGACTGTGTGCTGGAACCTGTGGTTTTGGAGAGGTATTTTGAGTTATTGAAGAACTCTCTTTTTTTGGACATTCTGACATTTTGTGAAGAGTATTTTTTTCATGATTTTTTTTTTTTCACTTTTTGTAAACATCACTGTCTGCACTTTGGGAGGCCGGCAAAATAAATCACACCATCACAATATCTTTCCAACTACGCCTGTGTCTTTCCCAGTTTTTGAGGAGTTTTGAAATAGAACCCCTCGACACACAGAAGAGGAGCCTGAAACCTGAAGGCTGTGGCTCCCATTCTACTTTTAAGAACTTTAGGAACCACAAGTAACCCTGCATCCTCGGAGCACAGTGTTCTGGTGGGATAACAGGGCACTATTAGCTCTCTAAGATATGACGGAGCCTGACCAGTTAGAGCTTTGTAAGTAAGGAGACAGAATTTAAATTCAGTTCAGGATTTTACAGGGAGTCAGTGCAGAGAAGCTAAAACAGAAAAAAAGATCTTTTTTCTCTGTTTCCATCAGCACACATGCTGCAGCACGATTTTTGTAGGGACTTATTGGAGAAACCTATAATAAGTAATTGCAACAATCCAGCCTAGACATGACAAATGTATGGGATAGTTTTAGTTAAGGGCCAAGTACAATAAGTTTAGTTTTTTTTAGCTTAATATCAGGAAATTGCGGTTAACTAGTAATACTGATGAGTTACTTTAAGACATTTGATTGGGAATTACTCATGAACTGACCTTTAACTAATTATCAGTTGCTCATTCAGTCCTCATTAGTTTTCTAGTACCTACTAGAATTTAAAGGAAAATTACTAACATCAGCAAAAAAAATAAAATAAATAAAAACATTGGATGATCTTGCAAACAGATTGTAATAGCAGAACTGATAATAATAACTTTATTTATATAGCACCTGTAAGCACTAATATAAGTAATTCAATGCAAGATTTACAAAATAAAAGACAAAAGCACACCCTCTCTTATAGGAACACATTTAATGTGAAGTGTGTGTGTGTGTGTGTGTGTGTGTGTGTGTGTGTGTTCAGACTTAATTTACACTAATTACCAAAAAACTATTAATGAATACCATACATGTGTATAGGCAGAGAACCATACTGAGGTGTCATTCACCTGCAGATAGTAGCCAGCAGGGGGTGCTGCCTGCAGCTCTCTATGTTTCATGCTTCATGTAAATCTGTGGTTTCTTGTAAGTCAGCTGCTTTAAAGCTGACCAATCAGTTTTGTCTAACTCACAGTTTGATCATTGCAGGACTACATTTTCTTCTATTTATCAAAGACAATAATGACTTTTACCTCCTCTTTCACTCCATTTTACTGCATGATTGCCATGGAGGATCCAGGATCCTCCAGGATCCATGAAGACATTAAAAAGCACTAGAGAGCAATAATCAAGCCTTAGCTGATGCAAAGATCCAGGAGTACTTGGATCAGCAGAACAATATTCCACTAAATATTGCCGTCACAGGAGAGACAGGCTCTGGTAAATCCACCTTAGTTAATGCCTTCAGAGGCATAGACAATAGGGATGAGAGAGCTGCTCCTACTGGTTGTGTAGAAACCACCTTAGAGGTTTCACCATACCCCCATCCCAACTATCCCAATGTCACACTGTGGGATCTTCCTGCTATTGGCACCACCAACTTTCCAGCTGACAACTACCTGAAGCTTGTTGGATTTGAAAGGTTTGACTTCTTCATCATCATCTCCGACACTCGCTTCAGAGAAAGTGATGTGAAGCTCGCTCAGGAGATTCAGAGGATGAAGAAAAAGTTCTACTTTGTTCGTTCAAAGATTGATAGTGACTTAAGAAATGAGGAAATAAGTCAGGGATCAAGGTTCAACGCAGAAAGGTGTCTTCAACAAATCAGGGACAACTGCATTCAGGGTAAGAGACTGATGTTATCACATATACTAATAGTGAGATTCATTACAAAATGTCCGTGATTAAAAAGAAGTCACAAAAAAGGCAAAGAATATGTGTCTTTACATCAGTGCTTATAGCCATTATGTTTGTCTGACTCCAATTCACTTTTATTTGGGGTATTGATTTCTCAAAGTTAGGAAATCCGCATCATGTCCATCCACCATATACTTGTTCCATCCAAAGGCTTCACACTGCTTGCCATAGGTCTCCATGTCATACTTCAGGGGTGTAGCCTAACACCCACAGTAACCACCATGTTGTCCAACTGGTAGTAGGAGGCAAAGGCATTCGCCTTCCACACTGAAGGGTCAGGGTTAGGGGTTACTTTCAGTATAAAGAGCAGTTACCTGGTAGAAGGAGACATAAGGGAGCACTTGGTCACTGAGGTGGTGAAGAGGTTGAGCCATTGTTGGACAGTTCACATTTCTTTTGACAGAGATCCCAGTCAGCAGCAGATGTTTACTGGGACAAACTGACCTGCACAGAAAATCATGACTGATGAGACACTGTTATCCTTTGCACTCATCATTTAGGCTCATAGATCAGACTGATGTTTTTGTATTAAATGCTGATGTTGTTATATAAAAATTTTGAAAAGAAAAGCTTCAACATCATCTGTGAATCATGAAGTCCAGTGAATCAGATATACACGCAGTACTAAGAATGTTAGTTGCTGTGACGTTTAACTTTCTGACTTAGTTTAGATCTTTGTTGAACTGATTTATTTGATGGGGGAAAAATATATTTTGCAAATATAAACAACGTAGGATAATTTTCCTCACAGTCGTATATTACTCTCTAAAATCGTCTCATGTTTTTCTCAAGTCTAGCTTCACTGAAAAAATGATAGAGAGGGAGAATAGTCTCTCAAGTCTTCTCTTACTTTATTTCCACTCAAAATATATCACAGGCACCTTTCCACAAAAGTAAAATTACAAAACACAATTCTGCTAATGTATTTGCAATATCAAACACAATGTCAGCAAACATTCAAACTTTAAACCAAATCACAGACTGTCATTAAATACCACTCTGCTGCCTCTCTTGACAAACAAAGCTGTCATACTAGTGACTTCCTGTATGGGGAGAAGGTGAGTGGAAAAGGTTAACACTTTCAACATCATGTGATCCGTTGTTTTTATAATATCCACTAAATCAAAGCACGGGGTTCCAGGAAGAATATATAGAAAATAATAATTCAATAGATATGCATATTATGTTTTATATTTTAAAAGTTCTAATTGTTTTATATATCTTTTCATCTTATCATGTATTCCTGTTGTCACACAGGTCTTCAAAGACAAGGTGTTGAGTCTCCTCAAGTCTTCCTGGTGTCCAGCTTTGATCTCCACCTGTATGACTTCACTCTCTTAGGGGACACCTTTGAGGGAGAACTTCCTGCACACAAGAAGCATGCTCTGCTGCTGGCCATGCCCAACATCAGCCTGGAGGTCATCAACAAGAAGAAAAAGGCTTACCAGTCCAAAATAAAATACTATGCTATGCTTAGTGCAGGTGTAGCAGCTGTACCAGTTCCTGGGCTTTCTGCTGCAGTTGATGTGGGTGTGTTGGTTTCTGTTGTTACACAGTATGTAAATGGGTTTGGGCTTGACATCCTGTCACTGCGGAGACTCACTGATAGAAGAGGTATGCCATTTAGGGATTTGATTAACATCATAGTTTCACCACTGGCTGCAACAGAAATAACCCGAGATCTTGTGTTGAAGGTGCTTCTTAGATGTGCAGGCACAGCTGCATTAATGGCAGCAGAGGAAGTGTTCAGATTTATTTCAGTATTTGGAATCCCTGCAGCAATGATCCTTTCTTTTACCTTCATCTACAGAGCTCTCAATTATTTCCTCGACACACTTGCTGAGGATGCAGAGAGGGTGTTTAAAAGGGTCATGGGTTTAGACACCTCATTGTGATTTTGTAAAGTGAATGGCAGTGGCATTTAGTGGCACATTAAAAACTGCAGAGAAAGAGCTTTTGAATTATGTTTGTGAGTAGACTGCATTTTAATTTTTTAAGTGCTCAAATCATACTGTTGTGTTCTAGCTGCACATTTTAGCAATCAGGCATTACATGTTTTGCAGCTGATCAATCTATCCAGTGGTCCCTACACAGAATTTGTTTACTCTTATAAGAGCAGGTATCAATGGAAAATGTGTTATTGCTTATAGCACATTATAACATGCCTCTTAATCATTTTAATACAGGAAGGAATATTTTTATACAAAACTGTATAATGCAAATGCTTTGAATTACTTTTGTGATGCATTGCTATTTCTTAGTATTTTTTCCAAACATAGCTTGGTCTTACACTGTGTGTCATGACTGTAGTTATTGGTATAGTTTCTGTATTCTTATGGGCCTCGATACCACGTAATGCTATCTACACAAATGAAAGAATATTAAAAACACAGCTGAAATTTTTCATTGTTTTATTTCAAAAGGTCTTACAGTTTTTTACAATAGCTAACATCCTATTGTCCAATCTGTAGTCACATTTTGAAACACTCCAAACACAACTAGCACAACATCCGTCTGTTGTGGACCGTACCTTTAACACAAATCATGTTGTTTTCACAGAATATATAGTCAACTCACACGTTTCTAAATTACTTAAATTTTCTTTTTACATACAAGCCTACCCAATACCAAACATGCAGATCTGTCTTGTGTAATTTACAAATGCTTGCACACAGCATGCCATAAATGAAAACCTAATGTTTAGACCTTAAATATAGTATAAAGTCCCACTTCTGCAACAACAGCAGCTCAAAAGCTACATTGAAACAGCTGATACTCATTTCTGAATTGAAACACTGATAAATAGCTAATTTAAGTTGTGTAAAATAGACCAACCACCGTTGATTCCAGTCTCAATTGGAGACATAATCCGACATTGAAGTTTTCTGATTACATGGACGTTTACAGGAAAAATGGGACTTTTTCAATTGTTTCTTTTTAATGTGCATACAGGAAAAACATAGTGGAAACTGCAAAGATTAGAACAGACTGCCTGAAACTGTTAGGTTTTTTTTGTGTCTTTTACTCTTTTCATTGTATTTGTGTGTATCATTTTTACACATTTGGAAGCAAATGCAATGTCTGGTGGATTTTTTTGTTGATCACTGTCAGCAATCTCAGATTGCTAACAAAGCTTTTACTGCAACGCACAAAAATACAAGCATTTGATACTTGACCAAAAGATGCAGAATTGTCTGCAATAAAGGAAACTGAATTATAAAAAATGATGGATGTCATATTGTCTATTGTATGCAGGTACTGACACATAAAAAGTAATACAGTTTTTATAACTATTACAGTTTTCCTCGATTGCTAAGACACATTTAATGAAACTAGAATCCAACGCTATTGCATTGACAAATCTGTCCACAGGTGGATACTGAGAAATACACGTTATATGTATGTATGTTATAGGTATCGATACGACCACGATTCGCCAGAATGACACACACACACACACACACACACACACACACTCACTCACAAGCTGTAATTAGAAAATTAGATTAATTAATTAATTAGAAAAAGCCTGTTGAGCCTCCTTGTGTCAGGAAACACTTCCCTCTCCAGAGAGTATTCAAGCCAACTGATTCTCATTAGAGGGCTCTGCCAGTATTCATATGATTCATTTATGACCTGTTAACATTGTTAGCTCTTCCTCTTTACTCAGGCTACCCCTCTAACCTTATACTTACTTTGAATGCAGTTGTCCCTGATTTGTTTAAGAGTCCATTCTGCGCTGAACTTTGACCTCTGGCATCTTTTCTCATCATGTATGTCATGGTCAATGTTTGAGCGAACAAAGTAGAATGTTTTCTTCATCCTCTGAATCTCCTGAGCGAGCTTCACATCATTTTCTCTGAAGCGATCAGCTGAGATGATGATGAAGAAGTCAAACCTTTCAAGTTGACATTATAATCATACCAAATAGGATAGCCTATTTTCCAAAAATAACACACTCAAAATGTCAGAATCAAAATGAGACAGAGATGTACTTTTTAAAAACAAAAAAAAAAACTAGCTCTTTTTTTTATTGCTTTTCAGGGAAAAGATTTTCAGATACTTAAAACATTAAGTCAATATTAACAGATTTTCAAAGTGCCTTCTCTTCTGATAGTACGGCTGGAGAAGAGACAGGGTTTTACAGTAAATTCAAGATATGATTAATGGCTACAGACCCTTTAAAGATGCCTGAACTTCCCTTTATACTTTGTTGAAGAAAAAAAACTTTCATTTCCAATTCTGTGGCTGGTTCAGATGACTTTTATACACTGTGCAGTAGAGACAGTATCACTGCAAGGGTGTGGAATCCTATCTGAAGATCAATATTAAGAACAAGGTTTTATACTATGACACTAAAGGCTAAAACAAGGGGTTGTGAGCTGCGCTAATCAAGACTTCTGAGTGGCAACAAAGGTATATAGAAGTCAGGAAACTTAGGACAGGCTAATTAACAATACAATCTGATTCAATCTGCCCTAATCCCTTCAACACCTAAAACACTGTCTTCCTGGATGAGAGGTTCAAGAATTATAAATAGGGATCTATTGATCAGTGTTGAACAGTCTGTAACTCTGTAACTCAACAGTAACTCAACAGAAAGGATGATAATACATTAAGATACAACCAAAACTAGAAGATAAAAAAAAATCCTCTACAACTTGAATTCAGTCTTTTAGACAGTAGAAGTTTCCACATCCTGCTGTGATGGGCAGAGAGTCTAAACCAAAAATATCTCTCTTTACTGTTACAATTTATTGTTGTGGAGGCTTCAGTGATTCATGTAATGGAGCAGACAGTCAACAAAGGGAGGAGGAGCCTGGTGTGTTTTTGTCTGATGGAGTTTTGATGTTATGGTCTATGTATTCACTTCTCACTGCCTTCTGCAGCCTGTACTGTCACAACAATGAGATAATTACAGGTGCATCTGCTTATGTACCACTGCAGGCTCTGCCAGGAAAAGGAATGATGAAAACAAAAAGATCTTAAACATCACATAAACTCAAACAAATGAGTGTACTTAGTTCCTAACAGAATTTGTTGCACTTGATTGCAGGTTTTCTAATTAGAGGAGTTAAGATGGCAAAATTAAAGATATTTCAGTCAGGAACACTTTTGTCAAAGAAAACTTTATTTCCATTTGCGTCATATGTTAGAGAGCTCATAGTGCCTTATTATCCCACCAGAACACTGTGCTCTGAGAATGCAGGGTTACTCATGGTCCCTAAAGTCTCCAAAAGAAGATCAGGAGCCAGAGCCTTCAGCTATCAGGCTCCACTCCTGTGGAATCATCTTCCTGTTACGGTCCGGGAGGCAGACACCATCTCCACATTTAAGACTAGACTTAAGACTTTCCTCTTTGATAAAGCTTATAGTTAGGGCTGGCTCAGGCTTGCCCTGTACCAGCCCCTAGTTAGGCTGNTTCCTCTTTGATAAAGCTTATAGTTAGGGCTGGCTCAGGCTCAGCTTGTACCAGCCCCTAGTTAGGCTGACTTAGGCCTAGTCTGTCGGAGGACCCCCTATAATACACCGGGCACCTTCTCTCCTTCTCTCTCTCTCTCTTGTGTCCTGTTACTGCATCTTGCTAACTCGGCTATACTGCATGTCACTAACTCGGCTTCTTCTCCGGAGCCTTTGTGCTCCACTGTCTCTCAGGTTAACTCATATCGCAGCGGTGCCTGGATGGTGTGACGTGTGTGGTTGTGCTGCTGCCGTGGTCCTGCCAGATGCCTCCTGCTGCTGCTGTTATCATTAGTCATACTTCTACTGTTATTATACACATATGATTATTGTCACATATGTATACTATCAGATATTAATATATACTTTCAAGATATTGTACAACAGCCAGAATTATAATTATAATATTATTACTTTCATTAATGTTGTTGTAAGCTACTGTCATTACCGTCTGTCCTGCATCTCTCTCTCTCTATGTCCTGGAAGAGGGATCCCTCCTCAGTTGCTCTTCCTGAGGTTTCTACCGTTTTTTTCCCCTGTTAAAGGGAGTTTTTCCTTATCCGCTGTGAGGGTCCTAAGGACAGAGGGATGTCGTATGCTGTAAAGCCCTGTGAGGCAAATTGTGATTTGTGATATTGGGCTTTATAAATAAAATTGATTGATTGATTGATTGATATTATATTTGGTGGTATGGCTCTGTTCTGAGGCCTCTCTGCCTTTCCTCGGGCCTGTACAGAAAGCCTCTTCCATGTGCCTACGGGGAAAGCATAAGGCAGAGAAAGTACACCTCTCCACCCTTCTGCGTGCCAGCGTGAAAAGCCATAAGGCATAAAGAGCACATCTCCCTGCCCTTCCATGCGCCTACATGGAAAGCCTAAGGCAGGGAGAGCAGCAGCAAAGACCCCTCTGGGAACAGAACAGAGCAGCATCAATGACAAACCGAAATGACATTGATAAGTCAGACACAGAATGAAAAGGAGGAGCTGGGGTGGAGGCGGGTTGCAAAGCAGCTTGCAGAGGAAGCAGCAACAGTAGGATGGCCAGAGCAGTTTAAATAGGTTGCATAGAAAGGAATCATGTGATCTATAAGCTGACTTCCTTCCATCAATCAGCTGTTCCATTAGTTGATTGGGCTGTTTGCTCCATCAGCTGATGTGGCTGGGATGTGAGCCAAGCTTGACATCATGTCCTACCTGAACTAACACTATGCTCAATTTAGGTGCAGTTTGCATGTAGCAGGACTTGCCAATAAAGAACACAGAATACTGAGATTTAAATAATCAGGTCTGGAAACTTACTTTGTTGTCCCAGTTAAACTTTCTTTCTACACTTCAATTAGGATAGGCAAGTTTTAAATAACTTTTATGCTGTAAGAGCTTTGTTAATCCCAGTATTTTCTTTCATCATAGTAAATGATGCCTGCATATATAGTTTGATAAACTCATCAAGATATGCACACAAACCATGTCTCAATGTATTTTAACAAATGGAATTTCTTCCAACTATAACAAAAGGTGACGTCTCTTCATTTACATGTTGATGAGATTTAAAT